TACCTGGAAATCGAAGTCTAACTGGTGTAGATTTATTTCAATAAGCGAACCTTTTTCAAATGTTTTCATCACATTCAGCGAAAAAACATTGAGACATGAGTATCAGATTGCTATAATTGGGATTATTTAGTCATATTGAAAGAAAGAATATTGAACGTCGTATGATTACTCAGCGCTTCACAAGTTATAAACCTTTAAAAAACGAATGATCAGGAACCTGAAATACGCGCAAATATTAATATTAACAAATTATAACTTTATAAAGCTTAAAGTATGAATTAAAATGATTAGAAATATTAGGAACGGTACACAATATAAAACTTAGTAACTTTTTTTAAGTTTATAATATTCGACATATTTTAAGATTATATTAAAAAATTATTGAAATATCGAAAACACATAAAAACATGGCTTAAAAAAGTTCTAACAAATGAAAATGACAATAAAACATCCACGCATTTTATCGAAAGTTATAAAAGTTTTGTTACTTGTAATATGTTTTATCTGCCCCCTGGAATTAATGTTTAGAACCTTGCTCCCAAGGTTTGAAAAACATCCAATTGTTGTCTATTACTCGTATTCACCTGCTGGATTTTTTAATCCGGTGGACAGTCCATCTAGAAAGGCCCTCCTGGATGAAGTTACAGAATCATCAACCCATACTTTACTTGTAGTGTGTAAGGTAATAAATCTTCCTGTTTTGATTTCTATATTTCCCAGCACTTTATCTATAGTAGGTATTTCATTCCTAAAGAAGAATTCATGCACTTTCCTCCTAATCGCATGCTTATCAGCTTCATCCAATGATTTAACAATACTTTTGCGATGTTTACTGGTCATTGGCTCAGAAAAGGTGTGATTTTTTTTGTATTGTCTTAACACATTAAACACTGATGCGCGACACACCCCAACTTTGTGAGAAACCTTCACAACAATTTCTTTGATGGTTGATGCCTCGTTCTCCTCGCGCTCGATCTTATATATATTCAAAATGACCTCTTTTATTTCTGCACTCAGGTGTCTTTTTTTAGAGCGTTTCCTAGGTGGACTACAGGAGTTTACAACTTCATCGGCAGTATCTGTACTACTGGGCATTTTGCGCAAGCAGTTGATAACAATAACAATCAATAACAAGGTATAACAATAACAACGACAAACTCAACAACTTAATAAGATAACAAACGAAAACGTCCAAAGAAATATCAAATTGCAATGATTCACACGACATACGTAACACGTCTGAACCTGAATGTGACTCTGCCTTGATACGACTGCTCTGCCGCTCGGCATAGGCATTTAATTGCGAATTGACCAATGAGGGCTCCTGTTTTACGTCGAGACGGCGGCGTTAGCGTGAAAATCACCCGAACCTTTTGTTTACATCCGGTCTATCTCTTATCTGAATATACTATACACAAGATCTGCAACGTCTAGTGCTATTACAGCAGTACCAAACAAGTATTTTACAACAAGAGTATTATAAACCGAAATTACAAATGATGCAGCGTCAGAAGCCACCTGTAACTTATGATGTTCACGAAAATAAAACTTATAACTTATAAATGCACTTTAATCAGTAAAACTATTTACTATAATACCTAAGTTTCTTCTTATTTGTTGACCTAGTTGGCGGAGAGGAAGTTCGTCATTCTCACGATTTCCTTTATCTTCATCTGGGTCTTGTTCAACCAACTCAAAGTCAGGATCGCCCAAGCTCTTCGCAACATTATGGAGTACAATACAAGCAATAATTATTTTCGGCACGTTTTCCAAATTTATGCGGCAAACTTACCGTAGGATCGGAAACCGGCGTTTCAGTTGTCCGAAACATCGTTCAATTATAACTCTTTCTTGTTTTAAAAGCTTATTATAATTTATTTCTGCACATGGAGTAGGATTTCTGAAGGGAGTCATAAGGCATGGCTCAATACCATAACCGTCATCGCCAAGTAGTACAACATTTGCTTTATTTATTACGTTGTGATCTAGTCTGTGAATTTCTCCATATTCTGGAATCATGCACTGATCCAGGCCAACTGACGTCAACACTTGTGAACATCTCTCTGACATCACAAGTGGCTTGCACATTTAAAGTAGCTTTCCCTTTTCGGTTGACATGCTCATCTCCATGGCGATTTGGTTTGAGGATTCCTATATGTGTAAAATTAATTAGACCAATTGCTCGGTTCATCATCATTGGTAGTTGGAAACTTGATCTATTCGTTCGACTGTGCAACTATGCTGTTCACAACTATATCCACCGTCCGAGATACCGTTGCTTGACTAACACCAAGTTCCTGACAAATACCTTGTTGATATCCAGGCTCATCGAGATAGCGTAAAGATATCTTTATTTTATGAACACATGAAAGTGCTCCTCCTCGAGTTTCCTCATTCTCAACTAAAAACTTGTCCGCAAACCATTGTACATTTGCTTCGTCGAACCGATATAATTTTTTTAATTCACGGCCAAGTGAAGGTAAACGAGGATTGTACGTTTTAACATCCCTCACATCCACAATTTCCGCCATCATCGTTTGACCACCTTTCGTTACGAAGTTGAGCCTGCTACTGACCACATTCAGAATTTTTGAAGGATATGCTTCCTATGCCAAGTATAAGGTGAAGATTATGAATATCCTTTTATGTATGTCACTGCTTTGAAGGACATGCTTATACTCAAAAAGCAAAAGCATTTACTTCAAATTGTTATAAATACCATCTGGAGGATTTCCTCCAAAATTTGCAAGTACAAGGATATCCTTTGTTTTATGAATACAGCTCAATGATTTGATTATTCTAGGGAAATAAAGGACTCATAAGGAACTCCAAAGTGATATACTTCACGACCCAGCCGCCACCTTGATATTATCAAGTTACATTAAAATGCAGTATTCATATTTATGTCAACTTCATCTTCTCAAAATCCATTTTACTAGCTTGAGTGTTCAAAAAAATAACCTTTCTATATGATATGAATGAATTTTTCAATTTCGCAATATTAGTTATTAATGGCTCCACGTGGATGAGGCACATATATGAACGTGAGTTAATCAACTCATTCCTCATTACTAGTTACTATTTATAACTATTATAGCTGCCAATACTTCTTCGCCGCCAAGTATGCACAGCTTCTCCAGAAATTGCCGGGCGATATTTCATCTCAACATGAGTGATCGTTTATTTTTCAGCCGGGCGTTTTGTACGCGTATTAAATTAGCATAAAGCCGCAATCTCGCCACTTTACGGGGCTGGAAGGCTCGAAGCTCGCTACTGCTGCTCCTGGAGCCGTCATAAACTAATAAATTAATGATACCGGAAGAACGCTACCGCTCGCTGCTCGTGGATAAAAATACACTTGCTGCGTAACCTAGAAGCTGTCGACAGAGCCTGCACTCAGGCCTTTTAGTTCGATCGACATCTACAGGAATACCTGCAGCGCGCAAAACTCAAACAAGAATTCTAGATACACTGAGAAAAAAATAAGTCGATTAAAAATGTTTATCAGTCAATAGCTAAGCAAGTGTAATTGGTTTATTTAACCTCCTATTTCTAAAACAGTTCACTTGAATCTATGAGACTAGTTTAATCAAGCTAAAACGCAATAATTTAATTGAATTTATTAAACCGTTTACTTAGATTGAGTACACCAGTTTACTTAAAATTAATGAATCATCAAAATGAGTTTACCTGCTGTAAAAAAGTTTAATTATAAAGTTGTAAAATTTGTTCAATTAGTTAGGTAAAAGTATTCGCATGGTTTTAATGAATTATTTTATCTATATTTTGGACAATATTTGGAATTTGAAAAAACAAACTGTATTTTACTGTTCGAAGTATATTATAACAGTGCTTCCATATTTATAGCCCTAACAAAGTTCGAAATTTTCTGTTTTCATTAATTGTGAAACTATTATATGTATGGGACCAAGTTTTATTAATTATTTGTCTGATTGTTCAAAAACAGGTTATATCACCATTCTCTAGAATCAATTCCTTGATTTAAATTCAAAAAGTAGGAAAAGCGATACCTGAAACTGAATAAGGCTACTTTAACTTGTGTGCAAAAATTGTACTTTTATTTCCAATGATCAAACAGTATTTCACTCACCAGCATTCAATGTATTTGCATTATATAATAAATTCGACATCACTTTAAAGAAACTGGGATATTTTCAAATACTACAAGGTCTGAACCTACAAGATGCTCTTTCCTATGTATTTACAATACAAAAGAGAAGCACATGTTGAGCACATATTTGGTATGAATGTCCTTCATTGTCCTAAAGTAATGGAAAATATCACGAACTTCGTAACGGGTGTTAGGAACAAGTTAACTCTAACTGCTAGATAGTGGTCCAACTCTCGTGGAAAGCAATCAAAAATATTTTTTATGCCCCGAGTCATGGACGGATCTAGAAAGTACTTTTTAGGGGTTTCATGAATTTCAAATTACCCACTCAAAAAAGTGCTGGGGAGGGGACTAAAGATTCATGTCCACGAAGACGACATTGAAGAGCGGGGGGAAGGAGTCGTCTGTTCGCAAATTGAAAAACTCTCTCACAATTTAATTTTGGTTATTTTGGAGCGTAGGATTCTCAGGTCACCCCCTGGATCCGCTCCCAAAGTGTGTTTTCGAGAGTTTTCTGTAATCTTTATTTTTCATGAAAAAACAGTAATCAACGAACCCTTTTTCAGTTAAATTAATACATTATTCTCGCATGTGTTGTCTGTAAATAAAATAAATGTAATTCAATTGTTATTCAGAGCCCCAAGCACACTAAGCTAGAAGTAATTGTACATATTTGAAATACAATAACATTCGTAGTTCAAGGGCACTTCAGTGACGGGTCAAATATGAAGATTTTGGCTCTCACAGGTTCAGTTAAAGACATTTAAGGCGTGATGTTGAATATAAAGGTGGAAGTCAGAACATAGATAAAAAGAAGGCGGATTGTGTAATTTGTCTAGCTACTTATCACCTTTATTTTTGTGTCCAGATGTTCTTGTGTCAGAGAAGCCCCAATAATGATGTATCCATGCACCAAGGGGTAAGTTGCACTCTTGTATACGCACATAATCTAGATGGAGATACGCCATATCTAAGAGAAAGGATGTATCAGAAACCCTCCTAGATTATTTCTTCCCTCTTTTTATACGTAATTCATTGCATATTCCATTAAATCGTATCTTTGCTCTTTAATGGACAGATAAGTATATCAAAGACTTCCATTTGCCTCACAATACCCTACTCTTCAGAATATTTTTAAGAAATCTATTTTGTCATCCATTGCTTACCCTTTGTATTTCGCTGCTGGGAACTACAATGCGGTAATACATCCTAAAATTAGAAATACCATACCTGATATTGTTTCTGTTTAAAAAAAGTATCTAGTTCCAAGGATCACTTTCATCGAAGTTAGCATGACTCCTCGTGGCACACATTTTGTGGCCTACGCTTTATTTGTAACTTTATACAAACATATCTCGTGCGTCCCAGGTTCGCAATAGGTGTCATAAAAATTAATTAAAACAGATACGTGTTGTGTATTGAGCCCTAGAATAATCCAAGCCATCGTTTTAACCTACCGCGTTTCATAGTTCGATGGTCTCACTTTGAATCTGGATAAGAAAATATATGTTTTGCCATAAGTTTGTAATTTGATCATTTGCTGTCTATTCCTTAGCGTTTCCTTTAAAAACAATTGTTTTAGTGCTTTCGTTAATTTTTGGCCTTTTGGCTCTGATCCATGTTCAGAAATTACACTTAGACATCTTTTGCATAGCTTGCTCCTCAGGGGCCCATTTCAAAACTAGAGGGGCCCCACCAAACTGTAACGAATCCCAAATAGAGGAAAAAATTTGAAGTAAAGATTTTTACAAAGGAGACATAAATTCTTGCGTTGAATAATATGAATTGTCATGTATCTATTAACCCTGGGATGGATCATCGGCAAGAAATAGATTTCTATAAAAGTGTAAACCTACCCAAAACACATTTTGAAGAGCGAGGGTAGCAATGTTTTTCAGGGTGGTCGGATAGTAGCTGCGATGTCTACAACACGTAAATCCATGCAGGGTCATAGTGAGCTGCTTCATTTTTTAAAATCTTATAAATGACAGTTTTTTTTATATATCGAAACAGCCGCGCAGGCAGAAGCCTAAATGCCGGAACACCGCGGCTGGTATGATGATCCCAAAGAAATTTTGTTAATACGATTTTTGATTTGCCACGAGTGATCACCATGTGGCGCGTGTGCCACATAGGCGCCATATAGGTCGACAGGTATCCTAAACCACATCCGCTGCACATCGTCGGCATATTATGCATACTCTGCAAAAGTCTATTACTCCCATCGGTGGGGGTTCTATCGGTTCATAAAAACTGGATGGGCCGACACGCGGGATTAAGCCCTGGGAAAACTCAGGGCAAATCTTTGATATTTTATCTTTTTGTGTTATCATCTGAGCCTCCACACCAGTGAGTCTGCTTAACACAGAGCAAACTTGCTCCCCATGTCACAGTCGTCACATATATGGTGGGGGCGCCTTTTCGAGCCCTTTTTAAGGTACTTTTTGCAAGTCGAAAGGACTCAACCTTTTTGAATTGTTGGAGGCTTGGTTAAAATTTTGTCCAGCGACTGGGATTTATTGACAAATTCATGATTTTATGTTAATTTTGTATATTAGTGCGGTCATGGTGGACCCATTTATCCTTACTGTTTTTAGTGCTCTTCTTACTTAGTTTTGAGTAGGTATACTCGTACAGGTATCTTACCTTGTGTGGCTAGATGCTGAGACATTAACCCAGCGAAAACCTGCTTTCTTCTAGTAGGTTGGTCGCTTTCACGGTTTGCGAGGAGATTATCTCAGCGGTGGAAGTCAAACTATTAAGTACTCACACACTGAGGCAGTCAACATTAATTCTCAACTCAGATCTTAGATCTGCGCGATTCCACAATGCTTCTGTGAGGTGAGGTGCTCCAAGCTAACCCGAGTGTCTACGCGGAAGAGCTTGCGGAAGTTCTTTGTAAAAAGTCCAGTACTAGTCAACACCGGATAGAGAACTACACTATTTTGTAAGACTTCTCCCGGCGGGGTTAACTGCGAAGGTGCAGACACGACGAGGACATGGTCCTCTAAGCGGATCTATTACCTTCGCGGTAGAGCTGGCGGAAAAGCGTTGCTGAATATAGATGTCTAGTAATCCACTAGCTACGAGATCCCAAGAGCGACAGTATGCCCAAAAATAAATTCAGTGGAAGTAAGCGTTCAATTTTAAAAAGACAGCGCAAGATATGTAACGGCGACAAGTAGCTCAATACGTGCTACAACCCCAGATAGGCCCCCAACACCTCGGGTTTTAGGTCCAGTCTCCCATTTTAAGAAGACAACGACTCTCTGGACTATTATAATAATAATTAACAATACAGAAATTAATACGACATTTTGGGGAAGATATTTTAGATTAGATATTAAAGGCTTTGTAATCACCTATACATGAATATTTTTTTGTAAAATCTTTACCATTTACAAAAAAATAATGCCACATCTTTTATAAAAAATGTATACGAGGATTCGCTACGGAGGTACAGGCCACAAATAGTGACTCGCTTGATGGTACCCATGGAAATTAGTTACCTCATTCTGGTGACCAGGGACGAACTATACTACAACTATTTAAAACTGTAATGACTCATACGCGTGATCAACACGTGATCAGAGCTCGATCCCGGCTTCCTTCCAGTACAGCCATATAGCGTAAGACATATGTCGTTTCTGTGGCTTTGCGGTGGTCAACAGCACAGACAGAGATGGAAATAATGGCTGATTGTTCTCCGCCGGTAGAACCAATGAAATCAAAGACGCGCCTCGACCGGCAGACTCATAGGCGTCGGCAAAGCATTGGAACGTGTTTCGTTGAGCGATCGCATATTGTGTGTTTCAATAAGAATTATTGTGTGATTGTTATTGTTGTGGTTTCTGTGGTTACTGTTTTGGTTATACTTAACCATGGAGAGTACAAATGGCACGAGTGGAAGTACTGAAAGCCAGGGAACAAGTAGACGGCTTCGTAAAGCACTGAAGAGGGACGCGAAAGAAATCGTGCTCAACGTGTTCAATTATCTGAACAGAACTATGTCGCAGGGAGATGCACTCGCGCGTTGTGAAAGTATGACAGGCGTTCCAGAGTGGACCATTCGCAGGGTGGTGCATGAAAAGACGAAAACTGGAGCTACTACTGATCCAAAGTTTAATTTGAAGGGACGAAAGGCCGTTAAATTGGATGACGATAGCAAAATGGCGTTGAGGCGAACCGTACATTCATCCTTCTTTAGGAATGAGATACCAACCCTCAAGGCTGTACATGCAGCGATCAAGGAAAATGAAATTATACCCCAAATGAGCGTCGAGGTAATGAGAAATTAATTTTCGTTACGAAACGCGTAATCGGAAGTCAGTATTGATAGAGAGACCTGAAATAGTCGCCTGGCGTCGAAAATACCTTCGCGAAATGATTGAATATAGGCGACAAAGCAGAAAAATCTATTATTTGGATGAGGCATGGGTAAATGCAGGTCACACAGTTAAAAAAACCTGGATAGACAAAAACGTAGTGAGTAACCGACAAGCAAGCATTGAAGGTTTGTCAACAGGTTTTCGTGGACCGTCAGGGAAAGGTCAAAGATTGATCGTAACTCATATTGGTAGCTTTTTAGAAGAGTGTGACTTGATTTTCGTTTCTAAGAAAGGAGGTGATTACCATGACGAAATGAATGCCAGCTGCTTCGAGAGCTGGTTTCAAGGGGTGCTTCAGCGAGTTGAGCCCAAGTTAATGCTTCCTACCATAGTCGTCGAGCCGAACGTGTACCGACTATGTGATCTCGAAAAAGTGACATGCAGCAATGGTTGCGCGAAAAAGGAATCCCGTTTGACGATTCATGTGTGAAAGCGGAATTGTATGAAAAAATTAAACAGCACAAACCTGCGAACATTAGTTACGTGACTGATGAGGTGGCCCGTCAATGTGGTGTCACTGTGCTGCGGTTACCGCCCTACCACTGTGAACTGAACCCAATAGAGCTCATCTGGGCGCAAGTGGAGGGTTATATTGCGCGCCATAACACAACCTTCAAATTACCAGACGTTAAGATTTTACTTGAGACTTCCATACAGCTAGTAACGCCCGAAGCTTGGCAGAATGCTATCCGTCATGTTGTGAAGGAAGAAACAAAAATGTGGCAGCTTGACCACCACATCGACACCATCATAGAGCCAGTTATAGTCAATTTCAACGGGGAAAGCGATAGCGACAGTTTATTATTGTCAGATGTAAGTGGAAGCGACGATGAATAAAGGTAATTCCCAAATTTTTGACTTACAATATGTTTCAAACCACTCTTTATTAAGCATGTGACAAATCTAGTTCACCCATGTTAAACATTCATACCCCGCCTATGAACAGCCGACTACTGGTAGTTAAGTGATGTTCACGTGAACATCGATGAGTCATTACAGTTTTAGATAGTTATAGTATAGTACTAACACCAAATTATTTACCCACTGAATAATAAATGGCTCAGAAGTTATATTGGGAACTAAGCATTGTTACAAAAATTCCATCGTTTAATCGCAGGATATAAAAATTATGGATATTGCCTTGATGTGGAATGAGTTTGCGTTCTCTATGGAAATGAGACCCCAGTTTATTGCCATCGTTCAAAACTTATTGATGATTTGATTTCCAATAACGTTCCTTAGGAGTTTGTTTGTGTATAGGTGAGCCCTGCATAATATTTTTTTATGAGAACTGACGACGTGAATTTTTTGTGTTATTCTCACATGCGCATAACTGATTCGATTTGCATTGTACGACTCAATCGATTGATCTACAACAGTAATTCACGTGAATTACATGGTCGAATGTCCGCTAATAGCCGCTCACATTTGCGCACCTTCCCAGTGCCAGTCACAGCTCACGAAACGTCCTTCCAAATCGATGCTGGGACACAACAGCAATTAGATATAATGATCACTTAATTGTGAGTTA